TTCGGCTAGACGAAAGGCTTTTCGGCCAACTGGCGGGCATTATCACCCGATGACCATGCTGGTAGCCAGACGTCAATGCCGATAAGCGATGGCCGAAAGACCTTTCAGCTGGACGAAAGGCCTTTTGGCCAACCGGCAGACTTTATCTCCCAACGACCATGCCGGTAGCCAAACGTCAATGCTGATAAGCAATGGCCAAAAGGCCTTTCAGCTAGACAAAAGGCCTTTTGGTCAACCGACAGGTGTTATGCCTTGATAACCACGTCGACAGCCCGACTCTAATGCCGAAATGTGATGGCCGAAAGACCTTTTGGCTGGACGAAAGGCCTTTCGGCCAACTCAGTAGCTCCAGCGGGCCTTTCGGCAATTGTTGGTGAAATAAGGTTGATAGATAAAGGGAAATAGGGGGACTGAAACATCGTGCCATCCCCCAACAGACTATGACTAACAACTAGTCCTCTTAGCTCCTATCAATGAACTAATGGTCTAACATCTAGTTCATGACTAATGAACTAATAATTAGTCTGCCTGATACTAGGGGCTAAAAATTAGCCAACTACTCCATCCATTCCAAATTATAAGCCATTCCAAGAATCTACGAGAGTCAAAGCATCTCAAATTTGACCAAAATTATAGAGAAAACTACAAAGATTTATGACACCAAATAGATATACTAGGTATACTATGAAATTATAATTAACGAAAAATCTAATGATATTTAGTTGACATCATAAATACTATTATCTTATTATATAAATTTGGTCAAACTTGACATGCTTTGACTCTCCAAAATTCTTAGAATGACTTATAATTTAGGATGAAGGGAATAGTTGTTAGTCCTGTAAATCCAAATCTAAACAAGGCCTAACAACTACTCCGTGACTAATGGACTAATAATTATTCTACTTCCTCCCTCTGCCCCGAAATAAATCAATTCCTAGAAACCGTGCCAATCAAACTTTTTTAAGTTTGATTAACTTTATATAAAATAGTAACAACATCTATAAAAATATATTATATGATACATCTAACGATATTAGTTTGATATCATAAATCTTGATATTTTTTTTCTAGAAATTCGATCAAAGTTTAAAAAAATTTGACTTAAGACAGGAATCTATTTATTCAGAGACAGAGATAGTATTTGGATCCTTATGAACTAAAATTAGTCTACATATTTGGATTACTAATTCTTAATCCTATGCATCCAAACGAGGCCTATGCATCCAAACAAGGCCTAAGACTCTTTGCATTGACAGTCAAGGAAGAGCGACTCAAGAGATGCAGAGGGACTATGTAACAAAAACCATCTACGTGGTTAGACAGTCAGGTGCATGGCATTGTTTCCCAAGAATATAACCCCAAATTGGCAAATTGGCAATCTCAAAACCATATAAAATAACGACTGTCTTGCGCTCTGCTCAGCTGGGCTGGGCAAACAATAACGAACATGCTGCAGGATTTGTTTAGTATCATATGATATTGTAGCATACAAATTGCCAGATTGGATAATGACTAGATGAACATCAGGGTTTGCTGCATTGCGTGCCTGCTTTCAGATTCCTTACATATGCAGATATCGATTCACATTTATATTTATCAGGCCAGCAGCCTAGCTTGGAACTGAAGTGCATCAAAGGGCAAGCACAAATCACACCCAAGAAGTATGCTGGAAATAAAGTTCTATGCTTGGTCTACAACTATTTTGCATAATTATCGCCAGTAGCAAAAAAATGGAACTACAATGGCATACAAGAGCACACTTAAAGGTTCAAACGACTGTTGCATGCAGATTTTTAGGAAGTACAGTGAGTTATTTAGTACGCCACCAGTTAAGCTATTTGTAAGCAGCTAATATTATCTCAAAATGACCTAAATGATTCATGTTCACCACAAGTCAATGATGCATATTCCAAACAGAGAGCTAGAATCCTAGAACATCAATTTATATAAAGGGAGGATATAGCAGACTGAGGTGGTGAAGTGCCTCAGTGCTGCAAGTATAAAGTAGAAACATGTCATAACACGGAAAAGGACGAATGAATTGTGACACCCACAAGGCCATAATCGGTCTATTTCAGGTAATGCGCAAGCAATACGGCATCAAGTAGGAGTTATCACTTTGTAAAGCATGTTATAACCTAGAAAAGGACAAATGAGTTGAGTCATCCCGGAAAGCCACAATCGGTACATTTCTGATTATCTTGGAATGTGGACAAAGCAAATTACTGAATGACAACAAAAACTAATAGAACCTGCTCATAATAAAAAGAAACCATCAAAATTTGGGTAGTGCTGACGGAGCTGTGGCAAATGTTCTAGCATCAAGACATCCATACGGCCATACATGTGCAAACATAACACAGCAGCACACGAACAACTTCGATAACACAAGTTCTATCAAAATTTCTCGGTAAAATCAGTGCCAGCATACATGTTTGTGGACCACGCACACAAAATGTCACTAATGGGAATAAAAACCTTAAATTAAGGAAAGGATTTCTAATTCCAGTCTCCTTGTTTGCAAATCATCTTGGACTCACATCAATGGCCATGGTAATCATATCAAGGAGAACCACTACCACAACAGACAAAATGAGGAAACCACTGGGATTGCACAGTGAGACCTACAGCATTAAGGGAACCAAATCATCACCTATAGCAATCATAAAATTCAAATACTAAACCAGCGGCACAATGATTACCTGCTGCAGAAGGGAAGGTGTAAACTCAGGACTGTCCTGATCTCTATAGCAGCACAAGACCAAGCTCAGAGGGCTTGATGCCATTGCGAATACGGTAGTTGTAGAGGTAATAGTGGAGCTGCCCATCTCCAGGACCAAACTTGAGTTCCTTGAGGAATGACTCATTCTCCATGACATCGAGAGCATTGAACACATCATAATTCTTCTGCTTGGCAACAATCAGAGCATCATTCATCAGCTGCTGCAACGGAGTTTTGGTGGAAACATTGTAATACGAGTATGCTGCTTTCAGCGTCGCATAGTTAGCATTGTTCAGCACTGATGAGGGCAGCGTGTAAAAGCTGCAGAAATCCGTGACCTCATGCGTCTCAGGGCTCTCCACAAGGTAGCTGTCCACCACATCCTCTTGGGGCAGCAGCCAGTGCTCCACATCTACCTCATCAAAATCCGGTGCCACCACAAACCTCGCAAGGTAAGCCCTCAGCAGCCGTGTGACCGCAGCAACATCCCGCAGCTCCATTCTGCGGAACCCAGGGGTGAGCGGCGCATCAGGCAGCTTGTATAGCCGGACCGTGCGGCTCATTGTCATGCGCGGACCCAGGCGAGAGAAGCCAACATCGATAAGCTTCTTGGGGTTGAGGGATCGGTGCCAGTAGCGGCAGGTGGTGATGGGGGTTGGGAGGACGACCCCCGCGGTGTATGCAGCCTGCCAGATGTTCTCCTGGTGGACGCGGCGGGTGACCTCCCGAATGAGCACGGGTGCCAGGCGCTTGGATCGGAGCTTCTTGTGGACGCAGAGGAAGTTGATCTCGGCCATGCGGACGACGTCGTCGCGGGCGCGGATGCGGGCCGGGACGCCCGAGATGAAGGCGACGAGCTTCTTGGACTCCTTGGCGCGGACGCCGATGTGCCAGGCCCGGAAGAAGGAGGGCGGCTTGAGCGCCCAGCGGAGGAAGGCCGGGGAGTAGTTGAAGCGGAACATGTTCTCGTCGTCCTCGACGTAGTTGTGGGCGAGCAGCGAGTAGAGGTCGGCGAGGAACGCGTCGTCGTCGAGGTCACAGGTGAGCCACTCGAAGGCGGCGGGCAGCGGGTAGGGGTCGGCGCGCACCTCGGAGAGTGGCGTGGGCGGCTCGATGGGGCCGTCCGGTAGCGACGTGTCGGCGGCGTCGCGGAACTGGCCGACGGGCTGCGTCTCCCAGAACTTGTGGCGGCGAGCGGCGGGGTTGGAGTTGAGGGTCATGTGCTCCTGCACGCGCCGCGCCAACGCCTCGATGGAGATGTCCTCCTCGCCAGCCGGGCCGGTGCCACTGGCGCTGGCAGCGTCGTTGCTGTTGGGGGCGGCCATGGCGATCTGGGCCCGGATCGGCGGTAGGGTTTGGGAGATTTGGGGAGAGAAGAGACGACGACGCGGGGGAGGGGAACGCGAGGGGGGCAGCGGGCAGATCTCTTTGCCTTGTGGGCTCCTCTCCTCGTAAGCGTAGCAATTAGCAAAGCCCCCCACTTGCAGGAAAGATGCGTTACTATTTTAGTTATTTTTCCCAATTAATATACGCATTCAGCTTTCCTACGGCCAACAAGAAACACTTCGTTCCTGGTAAAAACAACATTTCGTTCCTTAAGATTGATGATCGATCGATTGATAAAAACATGAGATAAGCAGGGCAAACCATAATATTTTCAATTTAGCACCATCACATCAGAACTTGATTCAGATCCATTTATAGCCATGGGCAATGGACCAGTCAAACACTGTAACTAGAAAGTTGAGATCAATGTACCAAAAGAGAAATGCAGAGAAGACTGTTATGGCCGAATCTGTTTTTGGAGCTTTCTTTTGGCAAAGGCCATCGACAATATCGCGCTAGTAAAAAGAAGAGTACTCTAAAAAGAACAATACTCGCACTCGTGATGAACAAGGGTCGAACAGAACACAACATACTCGAAATGAAAGATACAAGTGCCGCACAGATTATATTATCTTATACCAGGAACACTGTACATTCATATCCTACTTCATCTGTTTAAAACATTTCTTCCTTCTCTATTCTCTCATCATGTAATTAAAAAACATTACTGCCATCAGGATTCACGATCTCAGCTTGCAGTGACAGGCTGGGAAAGATGGGATTACATATTACAGAAGTTTGAAGACAGGCGGTGCGCTGATGTTATTTAGTTAACCCTAGGACATATCCCAAGTACAGCACAAACTGTTAAATTATACAACACAGGAGCAATACGGGCCACCGGATTCCAGAACCTATCCATGTACAGGACGAGAGTCTCCAATAGATTTCAAAAATCCCTTTGTGCCACTGGAACCAATGTGGTTATCTCTCCCCTTGAACCTGAACCATCAGCATGAAGTTAGACGATACAAGAAAAACAATAGGAGAGTGAAAGGTGATATATGGTGTATAATGAAGAAGATGAAGTACATCGGTCATAGATCTCTACTGCAATTGTGAGGAGAGACTCGGTATCCTCAGCCATCTTGAGGATTCTTTCTGCCTCCATCATCTGATCATGTGCATCATGTGCTTTTGCCTCCGCGTCAGCCACCTTGACAGCGGCTGCCATCGCTGCCTCTAGTGCAGGGCTGGAGGCAGTAAACAATCCTATGGTCTTTGACACCTTCGATGGCTTTGATGGATCCTTCTGTTTTGGAGCTGAAGCTTTTATTGGAGCTGGAGTCCTTGTTGCAAAGGAATCTGGGAGCCTATAAGACTTATCGATCTGTATTTAGATAAAATGATGTAATTAGATTGGTACTAGTTGCATCTACAGCTCAAACATTTCTGGCTTGAAATTTAATATTCTGCCAATACAGCTCTCAAGATACTTTCCACGATGAAATTTGCACTCATGAGAATTGCAGATTTTATGTTAAGCTCAAAACCACTTTTTTTTATATAGGCACGTGTTAGATGGCATATTCTGCCAATGTCGACAGGATATTGTCGGCAGCCCTCGAGGAGTATCCCACGAAGGTAGATTGATCGATAGAGGTGCGCGTAATCAAGAACAAGAAGACAACAGAGACACAAGAGTTATACAGGTTTGGGCCGTCTGCACGACGTAATACCCTATTCCTATGGTTTGTTGGTTTGTATTGGCTATCGTATGATATTGCGTGTGTTTTGAAGAAGGTCTCCTACCCGCCTTATATAGCCGGGGATAGGGTTACAATTCGGTTAGATCTAGGAGATAACCGATAAGTAATAACAGATTACAGGAATCACGGGATCGAGCATATCCTAACAGATCTCGTAGCATCTTCAGGATATCGCCCTTGATGTCTTGTGGTACATGCCGAGCAGTACCATGCACTGTAAGTCTTCGTCTTGTGGGCTGGACCACCCCACGGCGCAGCCCATGTAGTCTGCCGTGGGTATCCGGGGTCGTACCCCCCACAGCTAGTCCCCGAGCGCATTGTATCTAATGTGCAACGCCGTCTTGAGCTTATCCGAGTAGGTGTAAACAAAGCCGAGTAGTCAAACTCATAGTTCGACCACTCTAATGAGTCGCCGAGCAGTTGTGGACCATAACCGACTAGCTTAACTGTCCGGCCGAGCCCGGGCTTACCCAAATAAGGCTTGCCAGAAGGATGTAAGGAGCTCAAGTTCAAAATTAAAAATTTACTCGTTGTGAACCAAGTGTGCCCACTTAGAGTCCGACCACGAGAAAGGGAGATAACATTCTTCAACTTCGGAAGGCACGGAGTCTTACAATGAACAAATTAAAGAAAAACACACTCACCGCAAGGTGAAGTGTGCCCACTTAGTCCCTGAGCCTGATAGTAGGTGACGTGGTCACGTGGTGCCAGGATCCAGAAAGTAAAAGAAAGACAGAAGACCAGCCGAACAGGCAACCAGTCCACAGGCTGAGCCCTAAAATGAAAAGTCCACATTCACCGCAAAGTGAAGCGTGCCCACTTAGTCCCCGAGCCTGACAGTAGGTGATGTGGTCACGTGGTGCCATAGTCAGAAACAACAGTAACCAGAAAAAAAGTCCCCAGTATAGTGAGAAACCGAATCATAATGATGACGTAGTCCCCGAGCCACAAGTGAAAATCTCGGATAAATCAAGAAGTGCCGATAACTCAAATCGTGGAAAAAAACCCGGAGTAATGACTGTACAGTAGAAATTACTGAGCCTTGATGGTTATTGCAGAGTGGTCAACGAATATTCGGTGTGCAGTACCGAGTTGCGTCGAAAAATGGGCGATATGGACCGTAGTTGCGCGGAAGCCAAGATAACGGCCCAGCATGCCGCTTTGGGGAATTCGGAAGGACGCAAATCAGCATGGTGCGGTTTCCCAAAAACCCTTGAATACGAAAAGTCGGGAGGGTGTCTTTATAACTGCGTCGCCGCACTCCGCGCTCCCACCTTTGCCACTCCGTCACTTCATCTTCCTCCTCTCCCTCGCGCTCCTCCATTCGCATTTACACGCACTCCGCCGCTAGGGCTAAAAAGCTTGCGTAAAGGGACCAGTTCCGGTCCAGATCTGAGGGATGGCGCCGAAGAGGGGAGGTTGTAACGCGAAGAACGCAGCCATCGGGGTGAGCCGTGACAAGGAATGGGTATCGTCACTCATGGGAGACACGGAGCTCAACGAGATGGTGGGGCGGGCGTTCTTTCTGATCGTGTCACCGCCGGATGCCGTCCGGCCGACGGTGAGCCCTATCCGATGCCACACCGACGAACTCGTTGTATTCGAAAAATACTTCTGGCGTGGATTAGGGCTTCCGGTACATCCTTTCTTGCGAGATCTGTTGGAGTATTGGGGAGTGAGCTTATGTAATCTTCATCCGAACACTATTTTGCACATTTATGTGTTTATCCACTTTTGCAAGGTTTATCTTGGTATTCTTCCCCATTTCAATCTCTTACGACACTTTTTCTGACTCAAGAAGAAAGGAGGGGACGGTTCCAAAGTTGTCGGCGGTGTGTATCTACAGCTCCACGACGGGATGACGAGCGAATACATTCCTGTGCCGCTGACTACCTCGCTGAAGGGGTGGAATGATAGGTGGTTCTATATGAAGCAAACTGATTCTGTCGTCCAATGCGATGTCGACCAGATTCCGGAGAATCAAAGGAGCTGGTCGGAGAAACCGACCAGTGTCGATAAGGAACAGGTGAAGGAGCTCCTCGAGCTAATGAGGGCAATGAAGACGAGCGGAGTGGTGGTAGCGGTGAACTTCATACTGCGCCACGTCCAACCCTACAAGGAGAGGACTCATGCGGGCTTTGACTTCAAAGGAGATACTGATGGCATCCGGGAGAGAACGAAGAACTTGACGAAGGAGGCTATGCTACACCAGGACGCTGAACTATTCGCTCCAAACATATCGTACACCGTGCCGGGGCAGCCGAAACCCTTCAATTGTTCGAACTCACCTCCTCAGGTAAAAATCTCGACTGTTGTTCCGGTGCTTTTTATCCCGTTCCGACGCTGGGCAGTGGACTAATTCGCTTGTGAAAAGATCCATTGGCAGGAACGAGCGGCGTACTTCTTGGGCGTGACGAGGAGCGATTGGCCAGAGGCAATGGACGCCAGGCCGACCACTCAGCCGGAGGTAGGTGCCGTCAGCACCTCGTCCGATTCCGGAGGCGGAGGTGTTGGTCAAAAGGATAGTCCCCCCCGGTATCGGAGAAAGTTCGAGGGAAAAGGGCGACGAAAAATGAGCCGGCCCGAAAGAAAAGAAGAACGGTGGATGTAGATCCCCACAAGCCGGTTGACATCTCATTTAGTGGCGGTCGGACCGCTCGGACGCAGAGTGCGGCGATATCCGAGTGGTCGGACGACGACGAGGCTCCAGTAACTCTCCCTCCGAGCACTAAAACGTCGTCGCGGGGAACGCGCGTGGAGGTACGATCGAAGGGAGGAGCAGACGTCCAGCGTCGAGTCCCCGAGAAGCAGCCGGCGGAAAAAACGCCGACGGTGGGGGCCCCAAGACCACCAGCCCAGGACGCCCATGTCGACCCCAGAGCAGGGCCTAGGAGCTCGGGGGAGGCAGCGCCGATTCAGAACCGTTCATCGAGAAGCTGACGTGTAAGTATCTTTGCTTTGGGATTGGTTGCTGTCCGATCTTTATAGTGGCGGTGATCGATGGGCTAATCTGATGCAGAACGGGACGCGCGGAGGATCTGAATCCTTCAGGACAGACTGGCGAGCAGCCAGGGGCTGGTCCCAGCGCGAAGACATTACGGGTAGACTCTGTCCCAGAGTCCCCGGGCGCTCGTCGGTTTGCGGAGGATTCGACCACCGCTGCTGATGGAGTTGGAGGTGGAGAGCGGTCGGCGACAACGACGGGCGATTCGACGGAGACGCCAGGAGCAACAGCGAGAGCCGCCGAGTCTTCGAAGGCGGAAGCGGGAGCTGCCGGAGCTGTGCCGGAATCGAGGGCGCAGAGGCCGGCAACGTCGGAGGAGCAAGCGACGCACCCTGAGATGCCGCAGGGCGTGGTCGATCGCTTCATGCGGCCACCGAGCTCCCAAGGAGCGCCACCGGCTGTGGAGGAAGAGGAAGGGGTCGAGGAGATCGAGCGTGGAGGATCACGACCTCAGACCGTCCGCATCTTCCGCAAGCGAGGGCAGGAAATTGTGATCGTAGAAGAGGACACTACCAGGGAGGTGAAGAGGCTACGGTCCACCCTTTGCACATCTATGAAGCAAATTGAGGTTAGTGTTGCGTCAGTGGTGTCCGTCTTTAGCGTTGGAGACTATGGTCTTTTATAATCTTGGTGCTTTGCAGGGCATAGCGCGGACTGCCGTACAATGGCAGCAGTTGATCAAAAGGATGGAGCCCCTCGCCGAGGAGAACGAGAAACTAAGGGAGGCAATGAAACTGATGGAGAAGAACGTCCAGAGGGCCCAGGGCGAAAGGGATCTTGCTGAATCAAACACCAAGGACCTGGAGTACCAAAAGGGGACCCTGTCCGATCAGTTGAGAACCGTCTCCGTGTAGCCAAGGGACACGTCCGAGCAGCTGAAAGGCATCTCCAAGCAAAAAAAGGGTATCCTCAATCGATGAGCTTGTTCCGCATTGTCGACCGACCATAATGTAGCCGTTGTCTACTATGTTTGCAGAGCAAGATGTGGAGCTCGGCCGGCTGCGTCAAGTCGTCGGTCAATTCCAAGAGAGAAGGAAAAAGCATCTGGGCGAGCGAAGAAACTGGACGAGGATCTGGAAGGTGAGTAGTTCATGGTCGGAGTTATTGCTGAAATGATTTCTTCGTTTGACGAATCCTTTTGATGTCTGCAGAATACCATCGAAAAACCAAGGCGTAGTTCGACGCGCTGGAGCTGGAGGCAAAAATCCAGAGGGAAAATTTGACGCCGTGGTGGCCGGAGTCAGGCCTGTGCTCGACTGTATCGATATGGAGGTAGCTCATCAGCCCGATGACAGGTCGCCCCATCCGAACGCCATTATTAACAGGTGCAAGGCGGCGTGGGAGAACTTCAAAGGCTTCAACCGAGACGCCGCTGTCTTCATCATGATGCATGCCCTGGCGGTGGTCCGGTCTCACTACCCTACAATCAATCTTCGAGCGATAGGGGCCGGATTCGCCAGAGGGAGGAGTGCAACGAAGGAGGAGCAGCTGAAAAATGAGGTGGAGGACACGGCGAAGAAGCTGTTAGTCGTTGAACTCTCACTTTCGGTAGTAGCAGAATTCTTACTCTCATCGAAAGATGATGACACTAGGAGTTGGGGTAATTTTCTGGTTTAT